AAATGAAACAGCACTTGAAGAACTCTGCACAACATGGGGCCGACATTGTCACCAACTTGTGAAGAATTGTCCGGATCAATTGAAAGAAAATAACAATGATCAAAACTGTGAAAAACTCGATGAAAAATGCAGGGATACTTTTGAAAAGTTGAAAGCGAAGGATGATTTGACTCATCTGTTGAAAGGAAATTTAAATAATGAAGAAAAATGTAAAGAAGCATTAGGAAAGAATTGCACTGAGTTGAAAAAGAATCAACCATTCAAAATTCTGCTTAGTGATTGTGAAAAAGATAAGCAAAATGTTTGCAAAGAATTAGTTGAAAAACTAAAAAAGAGATGTCCTACTTTAAAAGACGGACTGAATAAAGCGAAAGATGAGTTGACAAAGATGAAGGCTGAGTACGATAAGGTCAAAAAGGCGGCAGAAGATTCTACGAAGGCAGCTAGCTTATTGCTATCAAGGCCTAAAAAAGCCGTAACACCAAGTGGACAGGATAGCAATGGTTCTGTACCAGCACAGGTACAGCCAGCACCAGGAGAGTCACCAGACTCATCATCAGGGTCGCCATCATCACCATCAGCACCACCATCAGCACCACCACAAAATGGAACACCAGATACATCAAGTGGAAAGCCAGGTGCACCAGATGGAACACCAGGCACAACAGGTGAAACGAAGAATCATGCAAAACTTGGACTCGTTAAAAGAGCATATGTAGATGGAGGAGTATCAGAAGCAGAAGTAAAAGCATTTGATGCAACGACGATAGCATTGGAGCTGTATTTGGAATTGAAAGAAGAATGTAAAGCTTTAGAACTAGATTGCGGTTTTAGAAAGGATTGTTCGAGTGTTGAAGATGTTTGCGAAGAAATAGACACTTTATGTAAACTGGAACCATTAGAAATTAAGCCTCATCATACAGAGACGCAAAAAGAAATCTCAACCACTACGACGACCACTACAACGACCACTACCACGACTACTACCACGACTACTACGACAACAACTACGACAACCAAACCGGGAAGTGGAGGAAAAGTAACAGAAGAGTGTACAATGATACAGACGACAGATACATGGGTGACGAGTACGTCATTGCATACGAGTACGATAACGAGCACGTC